TTACTAATAGGGCATTATGTAAAATTGTGGATGTGTAACTGATGTGATTCTGCAATCTGTATTTGGGGTAAAAATGGGAGTTCATAACCCACTTGAATCAAAGTGTGAAATATGATATGTCAAGAGATTTGTAATGTTTTGAACAACCAATAAAAAAAATAAAAAATTAAAAAAATGGAAAAAAAAAGAATAGTCCTATAACAAAAATAAAACAAAGGAACACAAGAAAAATATGAGAGGCACTGGATACTTTCTTAACACCTCAGTGTGGTGATATATCATGAGCATTTGCAAATGTCCAAATTCAGAAAATTGAACCAATTAAACATACGCACATCTTTGTGATAAACAGTCATATCTCAGTAAAACTGCTTTTTAAAAAGAAAACTTAAAAGAATTTAAAATTTAAAAAGAAATTAATTATGGAGGGTGCATGAGGGCAGGAAAGATGGTAGAATGAGATGGACATCATTACCCTACATACATGTATGACTACACATATTGTGTGACACTACATTGTGTGACACTACATTGTGTATAACCATAGAAATGTAAAGTTGTGCTGCAATTATGTACATTGAATCAAAATGCATTCTGCTGTTATATATACCTAATTAAAATGAATCCATTAATTTTAAAAATTTAAATAATTATATATATATCATATATATATGATATATATATATGATATATGTTCTGTGGTTGTAACTCAGTGATAGAGCACTTGTGTAACATGAGTTGCATTTGAGCCTCAGCACTCCATAAAAAATAAATTAAGTAAAGATATTGTGTCTATCTACAAGAAAAAGTAATAATAATAAAAAGAAATTAATGAAAACTAAATAAATGGGCAGTCATTCCATGTTCATGAGTTAGAAGACATAATACTGTTAAACTGGCAATAGTCCTTAATTTGATGTAAATATGCAAAGCAATTCCTATCAGAATCCCAGAAGACTTTTCTGCTTCAGTTGGAAAGCTGATCCTAAAATTCATATGGAAAAAATATGGAACCAGAATAACCCCCAAAAATCCTTTAAAAAGAAGAATAACTTTGGGTAACTCATTTCTTCTCAATTTCAGAACATATTACAAAGCTAAAGTAATTGTCATGATTAATCTGGACTGTCAATCTGATTGGATTAAAAATGCCTAAGATTAAAGGACTTCTGGGTGTGTCAGTGAGGATGTTTCCAGAAATGATTGTCATGGAAGACAACAAATTGAGGGGGAGGGGGACACCACCTACTGAGAATGTGCCAGTAATAGTCTGAGAGACTGAGGACTCCATTTTTGAGAAACCAGCATCTACCTCAAGGCCTGTCCAGAGGGAGGGGGCATAACCCCTGTCCTTGGAAAAACCCACAGAGCGCTGCCAGACACATAGCCACCCTGCTGAGTTGTTTTTAAATAACAGCAGAGATCTGTGGTGCCTAAGTGAGGACCCATAGCAACCCCCTAGCGCCACCAGTCAGCATGAGACAGGGAAAATATCTGAAATGCCAGGTGACCCTCCCAGTAGTTTTAGTGGTTGATAACATGTTAGGAAGCCATGTAGTTTAGCAGTATAGCCCTCATAGCCTAAACCAATCAGTTCAAATGAATCCAACACTTGAACTACCCAATCATCCTTACCTGACTTGTTCCCACCAATGAATGTGCTAATCAATGTTAAGAGTTGTTGTTTGACTTTCCCGCTGTGTGAAATGATTTGCTGTGTGATGTTGTGATGCATAGAGTATCCCCAAAAAATCTATAAATCCTCACTGAACTCACTCCTGGGGACCACTGCATCGGAAATAGTTGTGAGTCCAGGCTCAAGCTTGCAATAAAGACTCTTGTGTGATTGCATTGGATTCAGCTCCTGGAGGTCTACAGGGGTCCCAGGACCCTGGCATTACAAGTCTAATAGGTTGTTAATATCCATAACAAAAGGGGAAGAAGGAATAAGCTGATGCAAATGCAAGTTCCATTCTTCTTGAGCTGGTTCTTAGATGCTGCTGTGATCACCTGAGGACACTGGCCAGAGCTTCTTGGACTGAGCAGTTACTGTTTTCTCCAGCTCTCCAGTCTGTAGACAATCATTGTGGGACTATGCAGTATCTGATCCTGTAAGCCAATTCGAGAAATCTATTTTTTATAATCATTTAAATTCTGTTAGTTCTTGTAGATAACCTTGACAATACAGTAATTAAGACTGTATGGAATTGGCATAAGGCTAGAAAAGAGGAATGATAAAACTCTCACATTTATGATTAGTTGATGAACTACAAAGACAGAGGTGCCAAGGTGATTCAAAGGAGAAAAGTATCTTTTTTTTTTTCTTTCTTTCTTTTTTTTTTTTTTTTTGGTACCATGGTTTGAATCCAGGGGTGCTTACCCACTGAGCCACACTGCCAGCCCTTTTTAAAAATATTTTTCATTGCTGAGGCTAGCTTTGAACTCGTGATCCTCCTGCCTCGGCCTCCCCAGCAGCTGGGATTACAGGCATGGGCAACCCCACTGGGGAAAGTGTCTTTTTAACAAAGGGTACTGGGACAACTGGACACCCACATACTAAAGGATGAATTTAGACCCTCTACCCCACAAAATACACAAAACTTAAAATAGATCAAAAGACTAAATATAATGGCTAAAACTATAAAAATTTAGAAGAACATATAGGGGGAAATATCTTGACATTGGATTAGGTTACTTAGATATAACACAGAGGTCATACATGAGAAAATAAAAATTGAATCAACTGAACTTCATCAAAGTTAAACCCTTTTGTCTTTCAGAGAATACTGTCAAGAAAGTGAAAGAAGGGGAAGTGGAGAGGTAGTGGAGGCAGGAGTGAAGTCTCGCGATAAGAGGCAGTTGCCATAGTGGAGCCTTCAGACGTGCGTGCAATGCGTGCATGCGTGCTTGCGTGCATCCATCTGTGTCTGAGGAGCCGCCATCAACGGTTCGCTGAATGGTTTCTGCCCCTGGTAGAAACTAGCACCGTCGTTATGTCCCGCTACCAGCGCCCCCCCAACACTTCTCTTTTCGTCAGAAATGTGGCTGACTACACTAGATCTGAAGATTTATGGCGTGAATTTGGTCGTTATGGTCCTATAGTCGATGTGTATGTTCCACTTGACTTTTATACTCGACGGCCAAGGGGATTTGCTTATGTTCAATTTGAGTATGTCCGCGATGCTGAAGATGCTTTACAAAATTTGGACAGAAAATGGATTTGTGGTCGTCAAGTCGAAATACAGTTTGCGGAGGGGGATCGAAAAACACCAAATCAAATGAAAGCCAAGGAAGGGAGGAATGTGTACCGTTCTTCACGCTATGATGATTATGACAGATACAGACGTTCTAGAAGCCGAAGTTATGAAAGGAGGCGATCAAGAAGTCGGTCTTTTGATTACAACTATAGAAGATCTTATAGCCCTAGAAACAGTAGACCTATTCGAAGACGACGGCGTAGCAGAAGCCATTCTGACAGCGATAGATTCAAACACCGAAATCGATCTTCTTCAACATCTACATCCAATTCAAGATCACGGTCCAAGTCCAAGCCCAAGAGAGAAACAAAGGCTAAATCACGTTCCAGGTCTGCATCTCGCAGCAAAACTAGAGGCACCTCTAAAACTTATTCCAAAACAAAGTCTGGCGCAAGATATGAAAAGGAATCAGGGAAGAAAGAAAGACTTAGATCCAAATCTCAGTCAAGATCACAGTCTAGATCTAGGTCAAAATCTAGATCAAAGTCTTAGACTACTCCTAAGTCCATTGGCCACTGATGCTATAAACCATGATAAATTTTAGGCATGTATCATTTATTTACTCATAGTTTGGTATACTTAAAACATTGGGAACATAATGTTGCAATGATGCATAAAAATACGTGTTAGTTTTCCCTGTACCTGGCAGTGGTTATAATTAAAATGATATGCTGTTGAGAAGACAAACTTAAGAGTCCAGTTTGTTTAATGTTATGGGCAGCTACCAAATTTGTGTTGTTGATATTTTTTGTAAAGATTCTCAAATTTTATGCTTGAAATTTTGGTGAAAAGATGTTGGTTGACCATACTTTGCAGCATTGTTTTATTAAGAATAAACTTTCAATATCCATATTTGGTTAAACACGACATAGAAATATAGCCTGTTAATAAGATGGAATAATACAAAAGTGAAGTTGTAGCCACAGTACAACACTGACTGCTCAGATACATTTAGGTCCAGGGTGGAACTTTTTGCCTTATCAAAATGTCTATGCCTATGATAATAGTTTACTTATGATACAGTGTGTAATAATAGTTTTGTTAACCCCACTGTCTTGGGGAATGATGCCCACTTGGTTAAGTAGTATTTTCAGGGTAATAATTTTTGAATGAAACATGAAGCTTTCACTGCTTTTTTTTCTGGTTTCTATGAAGGTTTGGAATATAATAATATCAGAAAAGCTCCCCTTAAAATTTGAGAAGGTCAATGATTACAAATATTTTTTAAGGGGAAAAGAATGTTCTTAATGTAGTTATTCTAAAATTTAAGGAGCACTCTTGCTTGGATTTCTTATTTCTGTTAGGAGCAAGTAAATTGTTTCAAAGTAGGGGTGTTTGTGGGTATGTGTGTGCGTGTGCATGCATATTGTAAAAGAACTGAATTTTGATGCTTACAGCACTCAGTGTGTACATTTTTATCACAATTTCCCTACCTCTTTATGAGGGATATTTTCTATTCACATGTCAGTTTGTTTAACATGAGGCAAGTTGAAAGACAACACTCCCATTCTAAGTGAATGATTCTGTGGTGCCATGGGATTTTAAATAATTTGGGGAAAATGGTTAGTTTTAAGCAAGAGCCACCTCATGAGTTTTTGTTTATCAATGTCATACCTGACTAAAAGTGGGGAAGTAATACAGTTAACTATTTATAATTTCTAGTATTTCTCTAAATGATCATTTGGAGGCAATAAAAAGTGACTTGAAAAGTCCAGTCTCATTTCAGAGTAAAAAGCTAGCATCTTTTGAAATCTCAGATTACATATATATGTGCTTACTTGCAGATATAAGTAAAAAGTATTGTGGGGAAATGATTCCTTTTTTCAGTTTTGGTTTTAGAAATCTAGGTATAGCCTGTAAAGAACAAAAAAATGGTTTTTAAATACCATTTGTGTGTTTAAAAGATTGATTCTACAACCTTTGTATATTTGATACTATTTCTTTCATTTCTTTACTATTTGAAGTTAATATAAAGTTCATGTTCTGCTATGCAATCATTTATATGCACGTTTCTTTAATTTTTTTAGATTTTCCTGAATGTATATTTTAAACAATAAAAAGTCTATTTAAAACTGTAGCAGTATTTGTAGTTCTAGCAAAGAGAAAAGTTGCGGGGTTAAACTTCGTATTTTCTTATAGAAGTTTCTGAAAAGATATTTTTATATGTTCTTTTAACAATTATTGTATAAACCTTTGAAAACATCAATGTTTGCATCAAAACAAGACACAGGTTATTTTATGCTTGTTATAAATTAAGCAAATGTGCTATAATAAAAACAAAAGGAAAGAAAAAAGTGAAAAGAATATGGGAGAAAATAATTGCAAATCAAAAAGCTGGCATAGATATGCTTTATATATAGAATAAAGTCATTCAACAATGAAAGGACATATGAGTGAAACTTTTATTTATTTTTATTTTTAAATATATTTTTTAGTTGTTTATGTACCTTTATTTTATTTATTTGTATGTGGTGCTGAGAATCTAACCAAGTGCCTCACGCATGCTAGGCAAGTGCGCTACCACTGAGCCACAACCCCCAGCTCCATGAGTGAAATTTTTAAATGGGCAAATAATTTACCCAAAGAAGATACATAAAAGGTCAGTAAGTGCATGAAAAGTGTTCAACGGTTGTTTGAAAAGTTAGTTTGTAAATTAGTAACAAAATGTCTTCCAATATATAGCAACCCCAAACCAAATTTCATCACTGCTTAATTCAACAAAGTTTTTAAGAAGACAATAAATCAAAACTACAATTTTGAGGTAGGATATAAAACGAACGGAGACAAACAGAAGGAAAATAGAAATTTAAATTTAATCTGAAAGCATTGTGTTAGGTTTCTCATAACTTCACTCCCCAAGCCAGTTCTTTCTTCTAGTCCTGTAGCTTTCAAATTTCTTGGAAATTTTACAATCTTTGCTCATAATCTTTTTTTAAAAATATCAGTGCTAGGGATTGAACCCTGGGCATTGTACATGCTAGGCACATTCTCAACCACTGAGCTAAATCCCTAGCTAAATTCACCCACTTATGAAAATTTCCTGTGTGGTTAATTAGCCCACTAATACATGAATAGTTAGAATATATTGAACAAAGGGAGATTTAAAAATCCCTATAATTTAGTATATTTTCCCAGAAAGCTATCATATAGGGTATTTTCTCAATGTTATCAGTTAATGAAGAAGATGTTACCATAAGGATCCTGAGAATTGCCAGGCCACCATAACCATCTTGGGATCATTGGACTGATAGCATCCCCACATACCACCCCTTTATCTAGTCTCCTTTAAAAGAGTCTGAGCTGGGTGTACTGGATCACACCTATAATCCAAGCAACTTGGGAGGTGAAGACAGAAGGATTGCAAGCTCTAAGCCAGTCTCAGCAACTTAACAAGACCTTATCTAAAAAAAGAAAAAATTAAAAGGTCTGGGGATGTAGCTTAGTGGTAAAGCACCCCTGGGCTCAATCCCCAGTACCCAAAACAATAATGATAATAAATTAAGGAAGAGCCTGAGAAACCTGGAAGCATCTCTTACTCTAGAGATGAATTCCTTGTTTTATTAAATAAATCCTCACACCTCAATATCTGATGTGTGCTGAAATTCTTTTTTAATTTTTATTATTAGTTGTTCAAAACATTACATAGCTCTTGACCTATCATATTTCATACATTTGATTCAAGTGAGTTATGAACTCCCATTTTTACCCCGTATACAGATTGCAGAATCACATCGGTTACACATCCACTTTTTTACATACTGCCATACTAGTGTCTGTTGTGTTCTGTTGCCTTTCCTACCATCATGTATATTAAGGACCCTGGTTTCCTTAGTCAGTGGTCCCCCTCTATGGGACCTCCTTGGCCAATTTCTGGTGATGTCACAACTTCACACCCAAAGGAATGGCTATAATATAAAGAAATGGAAAATCAAAAGTGATGTTGAGAAGGTGGAGAAATTGAAACTCTCATACATTGGCAACATAAAATATTACAGATATTTTGGAAAACAGCTTGAAGGTTCTTCAAAAAGTGAGCTATGAACCAGCAATTCTACTCATAGTCATATACCCAAGAGAATTGAAAGTATATGTCTACACAAAAACTTGTACAAGAATGCTCATGATAAGACTATTCATAATATTCTCAAGTTGGAGAGAACACGAATTCTTATTAGCTGATTAATGAATAAATAAACTGTGATATATTCATGTAATGGAATATTTTATTAGTAATAAAAATGAAGTATTGATACATGCTATAGCATATATGGACCTTGAAAACGTTATCCTAAGTGACAGGATTCAAACAGAAAGAATTCAGACATATTAAAGGATTCTATTTTTATGAAAAGTTCAAGATAGACAAATCTGGAGAGACAGAAAATAAATTACTGGCTGTCAGAGGCTGAGAGAAGGAAATGGGGAATGGGATTTAATGCTTAATGGGTATGGGATTTTTTTATTGAGGTGATAAAATGTGCTGAAATTAGAGAGTGGTGTTGGTTCCACAACTCTGCTCATATACTAAAAACCACTAAATTATTTACTTAAAAATAAATTAACAGCCGGGCAGGATGGTGCATGCCTGTAATCCTAGCAACTCAGGAGGCTGAAGCAGGATGATCACAAGTTAGAGGCCAGCCCCAGTAATTTAATGAGGTTCTAAGCAACTTAGCACTGTCTCCAAATTTAAAAAAATAAAAATTAAAATGGCTGAGGATGTATCTCAGTGGTAGAGCACTCCTGTGTTCAATCCTCAGTACCTAAAATTAAATTAAATTTAAAAAGAAAATAAACTGGGTGTGGTAGTGCACTCGTATAATCCCAGTAGCTCAGGAGGCTGAGGAAGGAGTGTTGCAAGTTCAATATCAGCCTCAACACCTAATCAATTTAGTGAGAACTGTCTCAAAATTAAATAAACAAATAGATATAGAGAAAGATAATCCTGGGGATGTGGCTTAGTGGTTAAGCATCCCTGGGTTCAATCCCTAGTACCAAAATAAATAAATAAATAAATAAATAATAAGACAACCCCAGCATGCATACCTTACTGGAATCCCAATTAGAAAATTTATGTGAAAAAAAAATCATATTTATGCAAAAGTTGGAAATTTGAACAATGACTATAAATTTGATTATATTAAAAATTATTTTATTTTCTATGGGTTATGATTGCACCATTGTTATACTTTTAATTATTCATATTTTCCTTTTTATGCTTTTCTTTAGTTGTAGATGGATGCAATACCTTTATTTTGTTTATTTTTCTTTTTTATGTGGTGCTGAGGATCAAACCTAGCACCTCACATGAGCTAGGCAAGCATTGTGCCACTGAGCCATAGCCACAGCCCCTAATTATTCATGTTTTATACATATGTGCTGAAATATAGATTAAAAGTGGAATTTGTTTCAAATGATATGGGAAGACCAGTGTAATTCTACATCATATACAACCAGAAGAATGAGAAGTTAAACTCCATTTATTTATGATGTGTCAAAATGCATTCTACTGTCATGTATAACTAATTAGAATAAATATAAAAAATTAAAAAAAAACAAATGTGACCAAAATCTGTATCAAACAAAAATGGCAATAATCTTTCAAAAAGAAAAAAATGATATGGGAAGAGAAAGGAGTAGGAGTATGGTTTGGGCCTGGGTTGCTATGGGTTGATGAAAGTTGGGTCTCTGT